TAGAAAGTAATATTAAATAAATTCTAACAACAGCTTATCAAGCTTAATAGTGCTGCTGTTGTTCAGCCTCTGGTTTCCTCTTTCTGGCGCGAAGAGGGGCAAAAACAAAGAAGAGAGACGGAGTCGCAACAGAAAAGCCGATCAGCTGATCATTAATCAGTTTCACATTGAAGTAGCAGCAGGAGAGAGAGGAAGAGAGAAGAGGCAGTTGCTCCATATATTGGTTGTTAAGCTTAACATGGGAATGCTTTACAAACATTCAGAGATGAACTTACACACTTGCTTTACTTCTCTCTGGGATAACGTCATCGGAGATGAAATGCAGGTTTGGTAGTGCTACAAATACACACAGCCGCTCTTTCACGTGATGCACACTGCTCCGAAGTGCTACGGTTATGAGCCGAGTTATGCCATGTCACAAGTTTTGTGAGGTGCTTTTTTGATATTTAATGGATCGATTACATTTTTTATTTCTCTCCAATATCCGATCCAGTAATTTACGTCAGTATCGGACCGATATCGATAGCAATATCGGATCGGTCCATCTCTAGTTTGAACATGTGCCTGCGTAATGACATAGGGGAGAGAGAAAATGCAGGTTGAGGGAAAAATTTAAAAGCAGATGTTGAGGTTAGTGAGCATTGATCTGGCCTCAGAATGGTTGGAAAACCCCACAGGCAAAGCTTGCATGAAACACTGTGTAGTTCCTAAGTCCCTGGAAAGAGTTGGTGCAGTTATGACTGCTGGTACAGAGAAATAGAGAGGAGACCAGAATCTTAACTGAATCAATTGACTTGTTTTTTTTTAATTTGGTTGCTAGCTGTTTGCCATCACCAACCAAATGTGTTATATGTGCATGCATAATTATATATGTACATATTGATCCACACTTTGATGGCATCCACACTTCAGTCTGAACTTCTATACTATATACCTATTAACAGGATAGATCCATTCCCTGGTTCAGAAGCATGAAGCATGAGTGGAAGACGACCAAAGTGCCACCAGAGCACTAAGATGATATCAAATCTTAGTGCTCCATCTCCTGGGATCATGTGAGATGTTCATATATATTGTTTCAGAACATGTCTGCACATGTCCATCCATCCCTCAGGAACACTGAGGCATGGCTTTGTAGTTTTTTTTAAATGCATGATCACCTAACATTGTTTAAACCAGTTGTAACGTGTCAGTGTACACAGGGTCAATCTTAGCAATAATAATTAAAAAAAGGCAGTAGGACAAAGGTCAGAGCCTCTCTTAGAGAACTAAAGAGCCACAGAGCTGAGATCCTGTGTTCAGGCCACCAGAGATCAGTTTTATTTAACAAAGTTTCTACTACAATATGTACAAATGTATTAAAACAGCAAACCTATGTGCAAAAGACGTGCTATATAAAACCACATCATGTCATTTTATCACATGTCATGTTTCTTCTAAGCTTCTCAAAAATATTAGTCAGTTTTGTCTTTGTCTGCCTTCATTTTTCTATTTTCATGTGCACCGGAGTGCTCCTGTAGTTGAGGGGCTCCAAGTGTTGGAGTGTGTCACTGTTACACCACGATGGTGCAGAAAAAGTCAGCCACAGCGGCTGCCTCAAATCTCTTCAGACTCTTCTGTCTGGGCGGGTAAGAGGCCAACCCCTCTAGGGCGGGCCGGGCCTGTCGCTGGTCGTCACTCGGATTAGATAGCGGCTGGCCAGCTGCAGGTTCCACTGGTGTTTGGCGAGGATCTTGACGCAGTCCTCTCTGGAGCAGAGGCTCAGCGAGTACAGCTGCTCCATCTGCAGAGAGAAACAAGAGGAGCAAGTTCAGAAGGAGAAACAACCCACACTGTGGGTATGGAAGCAGCAGTAAGCTGCATATAACATGTACACAGACTGCAGATTTCCTCTCTTTAACTACTTGATGGTAAGTTTATAGTTAATAAGTATTTCTTTAACATGCATGAACAAGCCTGTAAAGCACAGCTGGATTTCCTGGTAGGGCTACTCTGGACACGGATTTACTGTTGGTTACATATTAAACTCACCACTGTGCTGCCCTGTGACGTCCTAGCATTAAGTGCACAAACCAGACGATAAATAGCTGCCATAATACAAAATCTATGGGACGAGCGACCTACTTCTGTGACCCATGTATTGTACCAATCTGTTTCTGAATTCCTCTTTTGTAGTCTTGAGATAAGCATTTACGCTGTCACCACGTTGGTTGCAAAAAAGCTGATGTGATGAGGAAGGGTGGTTGCAAAACCATTGGCTAATGACCTCTTTTTTTTTTTTATTGCCATAACTAAAACAATAATGGTCCCGAGCTTTCAACTCGAGGACCTTCTGCAAAATTCATATCATGAGTTAGAAATATACCACCTGCCTTTATCTGCCACTAACAAAGTGCACAAAACAAGACTTGTGCTGTATTAATGTGCATATTTTGACTATTGTTTCTGTTTATGTGTATGTTGGATAAGCAGTATATGTTAACATTATTACATTTTCTCTTATATTGTACATATACTGCTTTGACTTCCCTTGATGGCCATTTATATTTTACATGTATAAACTGGATTCCTTTGGCTCATATTTTATCATTAGCTTCACAGAACAGGTACAGGCAAGTGCAATTAAAAAAAATAAATTTTAATTCGATGGTCTGACCTTTAGTTGCTGTTCAGCTCGTACTGGGTTCCAGTCATTTCGTTGAAGTGCGTTAAGAACCTCGTCCGTGGTCACGCCATGTACCGCCTCCATAATCTGAACAGAGCAATGAAAACAGCAGACAGTGAGCAGGAAAACTGGAATTACTACCACTTTAATAAAATTAAAGTGAAATACTAACATTTTATTTGTACTGTATAATCTGCAGATTCTGACGGAAATCTGCAACTATCCTTCGAAGCACCGCTCCTCTCTAAAACAGCATTAAGGATCATTTTTAGGCCATATGTGAATAACAAAATAACTTAAAGCAAAATTGGGAAACGTAAAGTCCAAAACAAGTCTTTATATTAAGGTCCATCAGTCAAACAATACTGTTTGCTCTGGGTCTGAACACAGTGC